GACCTATCCACGTCATCATTTACCCAGAATGCTTTGTGTGTAAATAAAATGGCTCGGTACTTATAATATATTTTTTAAAATTTAGTTTTAAAATTATAAAAACTAAACAGCCCACAGTATTTTTACAGTCTTTATTTTACAGTTAAAATACATGTTTATCAAATAAAGTCTAATGTTACAACTAGTCATGGATTCCTTTAAAACATCACATTTGACAGGACCTGAGGAACAGCCTGGTTTTACACCAAGTTCAACGCGACCACAGATGGAGACCCTCCTATCTGCAGGACACAGAACCCAGCTACGCTCCTCCATTTTATCTGTATCTCCACTCAACATGAATATTTTCTTTCTTTCTTTTTTTTTTTTTGGAGTGGAAAAGGGTACAAAAGGAACTAAAAAAAAAATAGTTTTGAAAAGAAAGGAGCTGAAGTGTTGAACCCTGGTTGGGAATTCATTGTTGTTTCAAGATAAGAGAAGAGCTGCAGCGTTGAGCTTCCTCAGAAACAAAACAAACAACTGATGCAGATAGATCCTCCTGTCAGCCAACAGGAGGTTTGGGAGGTTTCAATTATTACATTAATTTTTCCAGCTGGGTAATCCGTCCCTGGAAGGACTGTTGGTGAATCAGCAGGTTTACAGTCTCGTTGACTCAACTTTCCGTTTCCTGTTCAGCCCAGAACGTGACGGGCGAGGCTTGGCTTTGGTTTGGACTCTGGTGCCAAAATAAGTTTTTCTATTGTCCCATTCTACCGCTCCACTGTGAAGCCTATAATTTGTTTTAAAAAAAATCAAAGACACAAGTTTTACTTAGACACAACCAACAAACGAGGAAACACTTTAATCTTTTAAATTCACTCATATGAGAGCTTATCTGTTCATAGTAAAGGACAAACATTCAGTTTCTGATTGTTAACATTATTATCATGTTTTTATGCACCCAGAGATGAAGTAATGCTGTTTGCTCAATCCTAATCTACAAAATAACTGCCCATTATCAAAAATAAAGGAATAAATTGAATCCTGTTGGGTTCTGATTCATTACTACAGCATTTTTTGTTATTAATTAAATAATATTCTCCTTTTTTGTTTTTATTTTATATTACTCATTTTATTATTTATAAGGTGAGTGAAAGAGCTGAAGGACTTATATGGTCTGTTTGACTTTCAATTAGTTTAATTCTTTACATATTTTAGCATTTCTTGTACTTTTAGTTAGACTTAATAAATGATTATTCTGAATGAATCAAATTATGCTGTTTGAAAGAGTTCACTCCTGTAGTTTTTTTTAAAGATATCTGCAATTTTAAAGGGCCAATATTATGTGTTTCTCAGGCAAATATTTAAATACTAATAAAGTATCTATGTCACCTTTAGCTGTTATTAAAATGTTGTTTTTATGTTTAAATAGAAAATAAACTTATCTTCTCATCACTTCCTCTTCTAAACGCCTTGAAATTGGCCTCTGTCTCTTTAAGAACCACCTTCTGCTTCGGTTTTGCCCGTTTCGGGGGGTCGCGCTCGCGGCGGAGGGGCTGCCATGATGCAGTTTACTTCTCATCTGAAAACACATTTCCTCAAAGTTATTTTTAATCTGAAAAGAGTTTCAC